AAAATCTGCTGCTTTGTGCCTTCCCTGCACAAGATGGGGTCTGTGCACACCTTAGTTTATTCGGCATGCAGTCACGTGGTCCTCGAAGTTACTCAGAAAAACTGAAAGAAAAAGACCTCAGAGAAGCATCAGGATGACCCCACCTGCAGCAAATCATTCCCAGTGTCTCTGCAGGGCTGAGGCTCTGAGTGGGTGCAGGACAGGGTCCCACACATTGCACATGGCCTCCCCACACTCACACTGCCTGGTGAGCATTTTCAGAAGGACCAATGACCCCTTCAGGTCCCATCTGTCCATGTTAATCATCCTGAGGGGTTCCCAGGAAAAGTCCTGGGAACCAAACTGTGCTGGAGTCACAGGGGCAGGGGTGTGGTCCCCAAAGCACCTGAGGGGCTGGGTTCCTGGATGTCTAGTGTTGTATTGGTCTTTCTGCTGTGAACAGTTTCCCCTTTTCGATAACAGCAGCACGAACCAGTCCCCCTCAGAGGCCTGATGGAAAGTGAGCCTTCAGCCTGGCCCAGGTTGAAGGGGTGATTTTGAAATAGGCAAGTGTCCTGGGTGTGATGAGATGGTTGATGGCAAGACCCAGCAGCCCTGTGGGATGGAAGGGGTGATGGTAACGGGGGCTTTCATAAGGCAGGTTCCAGCTTCCCAGGAACCCGGTGCTTCTGTGCCAGGCAGTGAACTCTGACTTTGGCCTTTCCTGAAGCCAGGAAGTTGTTTCCTGCTGCTGCGAGCCTTCAAGGGCTACCTCCATGAACCAGGCAAAGCCAAAAGCAAACCCGAGTATCAGGATGGCAGGAGACCCACGGTAAGGGCACCTCTAGCCCATACACTGTGCGGCACCATCAGAGTCCCCACCAGGCACCAAGCACTGGATCAACCCAGACCTCGCTGGTTCCGGGGAAAGTCTCTGAAGCTGGCCTGACTGCAACACTCCTCAACCACGCGGAACCACCCCTTCTAACAGAGGAAAGCAGGTCTTGGGCTCACAGCAGCTCAAAGACCACAGCACAACAGTGGTTTAATGACATGCGGCGGGGGGGGGGGGGGTGTCACTGCCACTGTTGTATCAAACCAATGAGCTTTCAGCTGCCTTGAGTTGATGACTTAGAGAGGGTTTGTTACACGTTCCATATTAAGAACTCCCTTCTATAATAAGTTCTGTATTTGTGATTACATCATAACCCATTGTGCAGATATGCAGCCATGTCTGAGGGTTTGTTTTTACTCTTTTCATTCTATTCTTCCCTATATTTTTGAAAGAACAAAAACATTTTGATCATCCAAACACTGATTAGAAAAGAACGGCGAAAGTACAAATGACGACATAAAAATAATCAGCCAGCCTCCCTGTCAACATGGGGAAATAGAAAAAGTGAGAATAGAATAAGATAATGGAAAGCAGAACACTAAATTCTTCCATGCCACGAGCATAGATAAGTCAACACTTGCAAGAATAGGGAGAGGGTCAAGAAATCAACCTGGGGAAACAGAGAAAGGTGCAACCTCTTTACAAGCAATTTTCTTGATTGTTGTTAGAGTGCTGCTTATGTAATAATATTTTAGTTTTAATGGAAAGATTGACAGAAAGGAAACCATTAGGTGACAGTGTGGGTAGTTTGTGGACATGGAATGAAAATCATAAAGGTAACCTGGGTGCGGAGGGTCACACCGGTAATGCCAGCACTTTGAGAGGCCAGGGCGGGTGGATCCTGTGAGCCCAGGAGTTCGAGACCAGCTGGGCAACATGGTGAGATCCCATCTCTACAAAAAAATACAAAAATTAGCCAGGTGTAGTGGTGTGCGCAGCCAGGTGGTGGTAGTCACAGCTACTCCGGAGGCTGAGTTGGGAGGATCACTTAAGCCCAGGAGGTCAAGGCTGCAGTAAGCTATGATCCTGCCACTGCACTCCAGCCCAGGCAACAGAGTGAGACCCTGTCTCAAAAATAAAAAAAAAATCACAAAGGTAGCATGAAAATGACTAAAGTTGCAGAATAAATCAGAGACTCTAACAGCTTTGCTAGTTATACCTGATGACATTAAGTGACAGCTTTTAAAATACCAATCTATGAACATCGCAATGGCCCAGAGGAAGAATGAAAATCACCCTGGGGACCAATGACCCAAACTTACCATGGTGATGGCCCTGGTTTCCTGGTAGGCCATCTTGATGTCGTCTGCAGCACTGGTATTGAGGAAGAAGTCACCCGAGTCTTTCCTGAAGTGGAGCTCCACCGGCAGGAGGCAGATTCAGGGAGAGTTGGGCTGTGTTTTGGAGGGTGAGGGGGTCCCCTGTTGGGTCTTACCCAGGCAGCCGGCAGGGCATGGGCTGTATCTGGAAGCCAAGACGGTCCTAGATGGTCACCTCTTCCAGGCTCACCCTCACATCCTCTACCAGGATGAGCTCTGTGGAGACCGATGAAGGCACTGGAGGGTCATGCTGAAGGGCAAGGGCAAGGCCATGAGATGCAGGAGGCCACAGGACACCCACGGACCAATACCAGGTCATCCTGCAGACCGACCTTCAAAAAGAACAGGCCCAGAAGCCCCAGGGCCTGGACTTGCTCCCAGCCACGAGCCCTGATAAGCCCCTGGTGCTCCTGAGCCCCATGGAATGGCCAAGGCCTATTTGAGGCCTCCCATCAGGCCCCCAAGGTGGAGTCAGTTACTGACTCCTGCACTCCAGACCCAAGATGCGTTGGCAGCAGTCCCACTTAGGTGCCTCCCCACCCTACCAGGCCCCAGTGGTGGGTGACTCACACACACCCTGCCCTTCAAGACTTCACAGCAAAGGGCCAGCTTCAGAGCATGTGGCAGACACCACTCCAGGCAGGGACAGGAAGGCCACTCTCGGCCAGGCTAGGCAGTGTGGGTGGGTCCCCTGGAAGAGTGGCCAAGCCTGGCTCGCAAGAGAACAAGGACAGCCTTCATGCCCTAGGGCGGCACATGACCCACAGAGCTCTGCTTCCTGCCTCGTGTCACATAAGGGAGCCACCCAGATCCGAGGTCCCCAGGGAGTCGCGTGTTTGAGCACCTCCTCGGGTCCACAGTTGTGCCAGATGCTCAGGGTGCAGCAGCAGCCTCAGGGAGAGGCGACTCCAATGCACATATGGAAGAGCAGGAGCAGGCCAAGTGCGGTGGCTCTCACCTGGAATCCCAGCACTTTGGGAAGCCAGGGTGGGAGGATCACTTGAGCCCAGGGGTTCATGACCAGCCTGGCCAACATGGCAAAACACATCTCCACTAAAAATATGAAAAATGAGCTGGGTGTGGTGGTGCACGACTGTAATTCCAGATACTCAGGAAGCTGAGGCAGGAGAATCACTTGAACCAAGGCGGCGGAGGTTGCAGTAAACTGAGATCATGCCATTGTACTCTGGCCTGGGTGACAGAGTGAGACTCTGTCTCGGGGGAAAAAAAAAAGGAAAGAAAGTGCAGAATCCTGGGGAGAACATGTCAGGGTGTTCTGGCTCCAGGCAGAAGGCTATGACACCCCCCCATTGCTGACCAAGGGATTCCTAGTGCCAGTGAGGGCTGAGCCAACAGGGACAGGCACAGGTGTGCCCCTTCAGGGGCCATCTCCCTCCAGACCAGCCTCCTGAGTGCTGCCCTCATGGGCCTCAGTCTCTTCCAAATCTTGCTCCCCAGGAGGCAATAAAAGCACCTCATCCTGGCATTTAGGAACCCTGGGAATCCAGCCCCACTTTCTCCTTTCAGCCTGTGCCTGCTGCCTCCACCTAAATGTAGAAGGACCTACATTTCCTGGTGGCCATGCCCTCTGTGGGGTGCCTGTCATCCATGCAGGGCTATTCCTGGGGAGCCCTTCCCTTCCACCCTCCAGTGCACCTACAGGGCCCCTACTATTAATAGCAGCACCTCCGCCTGGGGCAGAGTCAGGATGTGAGGGCTGTGGCCCAGCGAGGGGCTCAGAACTGTTCCACAGCCCCAGCGCTGGAATACAGGTTTAGCCTCTGTCCTGGGACTTGAGTGCTTCCCAACCTGGCCCCTGTCACTCGTTCAGACTAGCGCATCCCTCCAGAGAGCCACCCTCAGTCATCCTGGGCCTTTGCAGAGGCTACCCTCCTGCCCTTGTCTCTACTCACTTAGGCGACCCCTCCTCACACCGCAGGGTTCAGCACACTGGGCCTCTAGAAAGCCCCACTTCTTCCCTCACCAGAGCTGACCTGAGGCCCAGGCCACTCTTCTCTGGCCCCCACTTCACCTGGTGCTTCTCACGCTGAAGGAGCTTCATGGCTGGGGGTCCTTCCTGAAGAGGCTATGGGCTCATGGAGGGTAGGGTATGTCTGTTTCCTCTGTGTCCATTACATAATCTCAACCACATGAGGAAGGAAAAACCCTACAAGGAAAGGAAAATATTCTCTCCCTTCTCAATGGTTTAGATCAACCATTGAGAGATGAAAGAAAAGGAATTGAATATGTTGCATGTAGACATTAGGAGATCTTCAAAATCCAAAAGCTATTTCAGATTTTGAAATTACAAATGATTGAAAACCACCATGGCACGTTAAACCTATGTAACAAACCTGCACAATCTACACATGTACCCCAGAACTTAAGAGTACAATAAATATAGAAAAAGAAACTACGAACGAAAATGCTGTTGAAGTGTTGTACCAGTTTAAATAGCTAGGAAACGAAATATCAATCTCTATAATCCATCTAGACAAAAGCACTTACTTTTTAAAAGAGGAAGGTGTTTTGGGGACCAAAAGAGAGAAAACCTCTGTGAAAGATCCCCAGCCATGATTGGCCCCTGCTTTGCTCTGAGCTCATGAAAAGCCTTTGTGATGTCGTAACAGACAGGCCTATATAAGGCCCTGGCTGGGTCATGGTTTTTGGCCTGATAAATCCCTGGAAGCTTTTTTGGTGACCTGTGGACTCAGACCAGCTTAGCGATTACGAGTTGTTTGGGGGGGGTGGGTGGGGGGAGTTTTTGTGGGAGGGGCGTTGGGGGGAGTTTTTGTGGGAGGGGCGTGGGTGTTTTTTTAGTTATCATTGTTAGTATAGTTAATATAGTTAGTATTGCTTAGTATTTTAGTGTACTTTGGGGTAGTCAATAGTGTTGTTTAAGATTTTATCATAGTAGAGTTATAGTAGTTGTAGACTTAGAGAGGCACCATGAAGCAGGGATTGGCCTCCACCTCACCTGCCCTGCGGCCACTGCATTATCAAATACTGAATTTCATAGGCCGTGGTGCCTTTGGCGAGGTCACGCTGGCCCGGCACTTAAAGACCAGCACCCGGGTGGCGGTGGCGGTGAAAACAATCGACAGAACCGGCTTCCTCTCTAGCCACAGAGAGATGACTGTTTTACAGTCGGTGCACCACCGAAACATCATTAAATTATATCATATTATTAGCAGCAAAGAGGCGTGCCAGTTAGTACTTGAATACGCCGCAGGAGGAAGCCTGTCTAACTGGCTTGAACAGAACATCATGACAGAGGAGGAGGCCCGAGGCAAGTTCCAACAAATGCTGTCCGCCGTGAGGTACCTCCACCGCCGCAGCATCGCTCACAGAGACCTGAAACCGGACAACATGCTGTTAGATATTAAGGGAAACATCAAAATTGCGGATTTTGGATCGGCCACGAGTTACCATGAGGGGCAGAGGCTGACAATAGCTCATGGCACCCTGGCCTACATGGCCCCAGAACTCTTCGGGGCCCAGGGCTATGAATGCCCCGCCATGGACATATGGAGCCTAGGCGTCACGCTGTTCCAGATGGTGTCCAACAACCTGCCCTTCTCCGCAGTGAGTCGTACGCAACTGAAACGCCTAATTCTATCTGGCCAGTATGCTAGCCCGCAGTACTTTTCTGAAGGCCTTAAAAGACTAATTAAAAACCTTTTAACGCCTGATCCCAATGAGTGGCCAACAGCAGACAAAGTCATGGGGGAATCATGGGTGAACAACGGCCTTCACAGGAAGTCAGACCCCCAGCATGCCCCCACGGCCTCCCTGACCATTGAGCGCAATTGTGAAGATTTAGAAAACTTGGCACGGCAAGCCCTCCAGTGTGACCGTGTGGCCTCCTCCATTGTAAGCGCCATAGGCAGTGGTGGTGCTTTAGAAACCTTGGCAGAGGAAGCCCCCCAGCGTGACCTTGTGTCTGCAGCCTCCACCAAGTGCTCCACCGGCAGGGAAAATTTAGAAACTTTGGCTCAACCAGCCCTCCCGCATAACCTCACGGCCGCCTCCACCCAGATCACCACCCAGAGCACCGTGGCTCCACAACCAGTACACGAAGGCAGCGTCCTCCAAGCTGGGCAGCCCGAGGCTGTGTTGGCCCGGCCAACAAGAGGCTGGAGCTGCCGCAGGGCTGCCCGAAGGTGCATTGCCATAATAAGGAGATGCTGCTGGCCTGTGCCCATCCAAGAGGCAGAGTAAGAGGGCCCACCCAAGAGAAAAAGTAAGTAGGTGGGCGGTCAAGCCGCACTTCTTGCATTTTACTATATTTATTCTGTCTTTATTAGCATTGTTTTAATTGGCAAATCATGCTTGTACCTTCATGGGGTGCAGTGTGAGGGTGCAGAGTCAATAAGAATGTATTGCATTTTGCAAAACATGTTCATGTCAAATGTCTCTGCATTTAGATTGGAGAGGACGAAGGCCCTGAGGTCCAGGAACATTGAAACCTGAGATGCCCAGGAGCAACGTTGGAGCCTGCAGCACTTTATATAAAAAAATATAAAAATAAATGTATCATTCTGATAAATGACCATTTCTTGCTTCTTGCAAATTTTGTAGTAGCAATGGAAAGGTGGCAAGAGAAAGTAGCATTGGAGAAGGGCAAGGCGTGAGGCAAAGGAAAAGGCAGATTTACTAGCACCTGCCTTAGTTGAAAGAAAAGCGGGGATAATGAAAGGATGGAGGAGGACGTGGAAGAGAGTAAGAAAAAGATATAGCTAAACCAGAGTCTAAGCCAGACTGGAGAACGGTCTATAAAGATCATGCAGTTTACCCCCATGCAATACCTAGTGGTGGGATATGATCCAAACTGGTGGCTCACTGTCTCACACTACTACTATGTATCAGGTAAAAATGAACAAAAACAAACCCACCCCTTTGCCAATCAAAATATGTCACTGGAAGGCAAGAGGTGCGGCACAAGTTCTTGTATCTTCCCAGCTGCCCTGTTCCTTTGTTGAGGAGGAATCTGCTCCAAAAACTACAAGTACAAATTTCTCTTAAGCCTAAAGATAACATGACTTTAGATTTTAAGTAACCAAATTCTATGGTATTAGCCTTCACAGTACCACAAGCTGAGTGGCAATTACTTGCTAGAGATGTTTCTTACACAAGAAGTCATCCCTCGCTTTGGCCTACGTGCCACCATCCAGTTGGACAACGGTCCAGCATTTACGGCCCAAGTAATCCAGGTCGTCGCCGAGTCCCTCAACATCTGCAAACTACACATCCCTTACCATCCTCAGTCATCGGGTAAAGTTGAACGGGCCCACGGCATCCTCAAAGACCATTTGGCCAAACTTGCTATTGAAGTAAAACTCTCTTGGTTCAGCAAGTGAGCCGGGAACACTCCTACCTCTTGCCCTGGCCCCCCCATGAGGGCCAACGGGCCTGAGCCCCTTCGAATGGCTGTACGGCCGGCCTTTCCTGGTTTCCCATAATCTCCCTGCACGACCGCCTCCACTGGCCTCCTACCTTCCGTTTCTCTCTCTCCTCTGCCAGGTACTCAGGGAGCATGCTGACTGCATTCTCCCTGTCACTCTGGGACCAGAGGACCCCCACCCGGCAGCACCTCTCCAGCCAGGCTGGTTCTCCTCCAAGAGCTCAAACCAGGATCCTTGCAACCCAGGAATCCTGGACTGAGGGCCCCACCACCAGGACCCATAATCTTTCACAGCCAAACCGCCAAACAGGCAGCTATCAGTCCACTGTCTCCATCCTCATCCCACACGGTAAAAGCGCCGCACTCGGTCGCAATCATGGGTTTCATTTTCGGCACGGGCTGTGTTTTCTATATGACCAAACTAAGGACTACTGTCATTGGTGGAACACCACCTATGGGGTGTGCCCATACAGCTCTTGTGTTATCCACAAGCCACAGCCTCCAAGCCATCCCAACCGCATGCTCGCTCACTTCAGCAATGGTTCCTTAGCCCTCAACATCCGTGACCCTGGCACAGCTGTTAGGATACAGGAGTGTCTGGTAAAGTCTGTGAAGATTATACCTGGAGCCACCCTCAGGGAACATGGCTAATATTCCGGTCCTATACCCGCATCATCTCTAAAGCAACAGAACAGCTCAGTTCTGTAAGCCATACAATCCTGCAAAATGAAGCCATCCTAACTAACCAATTCAAACCCTCAGATAACACCTCTCAGTCTTTCTCTTGGTTGACTCTAGTACAGCAGGGAGCCAACATGTTAAATTTAACTAAAGCCATGAATATCACCAACTGCTTTTTATGTGCCGCTCTCAGCAACCCCCCCCTTAACTGTAGTTTCCCTCAGGTCCGGGTTTAATCTGTCACAATCACCTACGGGACCTGGCACCATCTTAACGGATATCCCCTTGTTCCAAGTACACCCTCAAAATTTCTCTCTCTGCCATGAGACAGCCAGCAGCTCCAATCCCAGCTGTAACACCACAGTAAAGGTAAAATCCTCCCTCTATGCACCACCAAGAGGATATTTCTGGTGTAATGGAACCTTAACTAAAGTTATTAATGCCTCCTTCCCTTTCCCTTGTGTGCCTGTCACCTTGATCCTGCAGTTAGAGGTCTACGGACAGGCCAAACTTCTATTCCTCCTTCCACCCTCCCCTAATCACCGAGATAGACGAGCAGTCTTCCTCCTCATGGTCGTTGGTCTCTCTCTAGCATCCTCTCTGGTGGCAGCCGAGCTGGGTAGCGGCGCCCTAGGCTACAGTGTCACCTCAGCCACTCAACTAGAGGACAAGCTTCGCGTGGCTATCGAAGCGTCGGCCGCCTCCCTGGCCCCCCTCCAGCGACAAATCACGTCACTGGCCCAGGTAACTCTCCAGAACCGAAGGGCCCTGTCTGTTTCTTCAGGAGCAGTGCTGCTATTACATCAATGAAACAGGCCTCGTAGAAGAAAATGTCAGCACTCTCTATCGCCTCCAAGAGGACCTCCACAAGAAGCAGAATGCATCAACCTGGCCTCTTAACTGGTGGCAATCCCCCATGCTAACCTGGCTAACCCCTATTATCACTCCCATCATCATCGTTTGTCTTCTGATAATGCTATCCCCTTTTTCCCTCAGGTTTTTATGGGCCCGCATGAGAGAAATTTCCAGGGTGGCCGTAAACCAGATGCTAATTCACCCCATGTCTGACTCCCAACCGAGGCACCAGCCAACTGACCCTTCTCCCTCACTCTGCCCCTATTCAACAGGAAGTAGCCAGAAAGCAGCAGCATCCTATATCATCAAAAGAATCGGAGTGAGAGTTTCTCAGCTCAGTTGACCATTTGACTTCTCCCCTGCTCTAGAAGTTTATAAAAAACCATCAGGCAACTACCAATCTTCTAAGAAAGTACAAACTTCATCAGTTGCCTTCAACAATCTTATCAGCAGAGCTACAAGATTACACAGGTTATTTTCCAGCACAAACCTCTAAAAAGCTAAGACAAAATCATGAAGCTCCATATGAATTCAACAAACGGTCTCTTTTTAAGCCTGACAGCTAAAATTTTCAAAGATTTCTTTTTTGTGGTTTTAAAGTTTAGTTTTCTGAAAGGTATAATTTTTGCTGTCAAGTTATACCATGTTCCAGCAAAAAGGTAATACACCAGAAGAGCTATATTTATACATGATACCAAACACATATGACAGACAACAAAATGTTGTCCTGATTCACTTCTAAAATACTCTATTGCTATAATTATTGATCATACAATGGTGGTTTATAATCATTACGAGAAATCCCAGAAAGGTAACATTTAAGCATGACAACCCCAAACTTGATGCTCTATTTTTATGTAGTTTAATACCTAAGCATGCTGTTAAAGTGCCAGTTCCCCTTCAATATAGATCATCATCTTAGAGAATTTCAGGTCATGCCCAGCATGACAACTGAAGACAGGGTATTAGAATAAAGAATCGACTACGTCTTAAAAACAAACGTAGAGCTAAAATTAACAGACAGGATATAAATATTTTGGTATTATAGGACACAGATACTAACTTTACTTAAACACTGTTACATAAACCAGCTTTTAAAAAACAGAATATACACTTACATATATTGACATATGAAAAAAAGAGGAGATACCTCAAAAATCTTGCCAGTATTTACCAAGAAATCAAGATTTTCAATAAGTAAATCCTTAGATGAATAATTTAAAACAGTAACATTGAATATCAGATTATACCTATAGGCAGATCTTTACTCTTAGAACCACTATTTAAGATAATGACTGAGAGAAGAGAAAATGTATCATTTATTATACATTCCCTGGAAGTAAATACTTTAAAAATAAATGGCAAAGTTCTCACTGATAAGTCTGTTCCTGAACACTTAATGAACAAGAATGTGGTAAAACCTCCAGTTAGAATCTGATTCCATTAATGCTCCAATTTTATGAATTCCTGAGCTATCATTTTACTTCTGTTAATATGTCTAAGCTTGAAGGGTTTTGCTATGTTCTACACATACAGACATGAAATAGGGACACAAAGAAGGAACTTTTCTCTTAATTTAAGTTTGATATACCTTATTCAAATTTGTAATATTAAAAACAGAGTAACATTGATAGATTAGAGACAACATGCACTTCATTTTTTTTCCCATTTAAAGAGAAGTGGCTTCTACCACACAAGGCATGATGTGTATAATAAGCCATAATGTATGCCAACTTAAATGAATAACAGGGAGTTTTTAAAAATGCAGTAACTATTAAAAAGTATTCCTTAGTTACCCCCATGGATAGGACAATAAGTTACTCAACAAAAAAATGCACGGTTAATTTTTTAGGCATTTTTGCAGTAAGTTCCACAACTTCAATATCCTTGTATATGTCGTAATATGTACATAAATATCATGCAGAGATGTCGTTAAAACCACAGCCTCTGGCTAATATGGAATACACTGAAGTTCTGTAAAATTATGAAAATCATAAATGTTCAACCTGTATGAAGCATTATGACATTTTTCAAAATCCATATTGAAAATCAGCCATTTTAGATGAACCTACATAGTAGCAGAGAATGAATTGTAACTTTATACCATCTTTGGATATGGCTCACATATTTCTAACTCTATTAACTGCCTCTTGAAAAATGAACTTGCTAGCAGCAAGAGATGCTGAATTAGTTTTATGGAGCAGCACTGGACTCATTATTCAAATAACTAGCATTATTTTCCTGATATTTTATATTTATCTTTTAATATAAATATTGCTTCATTAAAAATGTCAGTTTGATGAATTTCACCTGATGCATGAGAAGACACACATTATAAGAAAAAAAAAAAGTCCTACATTTTCAGGCAACATTTTAAACTTATTTTAGGTATTAATTTAGTAATTATTACTTGATGGTAACAGAAAGAAACTAACAATGCTCTCATAAAAATGTACTCCGTGTAGGTTCAAGCCAAGTTGAAATTTAATTTCTGCTTTTAAACAATATGTCATCTGCATACCATACAAATACAGCCATGTATCCAAGCATGAAAGTAAACATTTCAAAAAAAGCAGCAAAGGAAAAACATAAAATAAAGTTCTACCTACAGGGATTCCTCTGACTATTTTCGGTGAGTCCTGGAGATGACATGGATGTGACCTGAATGAGTGAACAGAAGCTCAGTGCTGGTCAAGTGAAGCCTCCAGTTACCAGGCAGCTGCCCTCACGTGCATCTTCTGGGATGTAGAACAAAGGAAGTGAGGCTGAAGCCAGAAGCAGCTTTTTCCAAAGAAATTGTAGTAAGCCTGTTAGTTTTTTGCTGATGGCTTAAGCAGACATACATTGGAATCTACTGCCTCTATAAAAGCAAAATGCAAGCTCTCAGGGGCTCTAGTGTACAAAGATGTATGCACCGGTCTGGGACCATACCAAATGCAGCTCAAAATGGAGGGGAGGAAAGGCTGAAAATCCACTAAATCCATCTGAATCTGTCATCTAGGTACAAAGATGCTTTAGTAACACACCAAGAGAGAGATGAAATCTTGCTGTTTGAAAGTAGTAACATAAAAATTAAAAATATAGTTCATTTCA